CTGTTCTCCTGTAATTTCTTGCACCCATTCCCAAATTTTTGTCCAATATTTTTGTGTTTCCGGGCAGGTCGACCATAAGTTTGACTCTGTTCTTCTGTGTGTTTCTTATTCTTCAGCCAAATGATTTATTCGGCAGTTCTAGTCTTCAAGTAATTATCTAGTCCTGGTATAACATACTATTCAGGCGCTAGAACAATTGATGAGGTTTCTGGCTTGGCACAATATGTGAAAGGAAGACCATTCCTGGGACAAACTAAGATTAAGGCATTCTTAAAATTAACACTCCTGAACTATGTGTTCCCCTGATGTTAAATTTCAATTCCAAGTATCTGTGGCATCTCTCAGAATTGAAGCCCAATAGATAGGACTTGATGAAAAATTGTATTTTCTAGCTCCTGATCAAAGCAAGCCGCCATACGAAAGTATTTCTCCAGCTTTTGCTTTAGATCAGGTTGGAGAATTATGGCCCCCTTATGACTTTTGGACTTCAACTCCCAGAATTCCTAAGCCAGGCTGGCTCAGGAATTCTGGGAGTTGAAGTCCACTTGTCATAAAGGGCCCATAATTCCTCACTTCTACTTGTAAGTCAAACTCAAAATTTCCCATAAGTCATTGGTTCCATTGGTTCATAGTATTAGGAAACTATTTTTTCTAACTCAACAGTCTGTGGCTTCACATGTGATGCTAACCCTGCCTATTGTGGCATATTCCATTAATCAAAAAAGTTTGCACATCATTAAGCCATTTTAACCAATCTATGCTTTCTCAGTTGTACTAGATAAAACAGTGAACAAAAGAAATTTCTGAAGGCAACTAATCTTGTAAAGTTATCTCTGTGACTTAAATTACATCTTTCTGCACTAAACAGAATAGTATTTTTTTCCATTTTATACCACTCATAATGACAAAAACTCTTTAAGAGATCACCATTAAGGTTACTGCATTCCTTAAACTAACATTCCTGAACTACATACTTTCCATATATATTTAATGTCAGCTACAAGAAGAATCTTTATCTGTAGCGCCTAGAGATTTCTCTTAGCATTGAAGCCCAACAGATACAGAATACAATTTTTCAAATAAATCTCCCGAAGCGATCAATAGCTGAAACTACTAAGATACAGAAGGATCTCGACAGATTTGAACATTGCGCACTACCTATTGAAATGAAATTCAATGGTGAAAAAAGTAAGGTTCTATATTTAGGCGAGAAAAACGAAATGCACAGGTACAGCATAGGTGGTACCTCGCTCAATAGTAGCAACTGTGAGAGGGATCTTGGAGTCCTAGTGGACAATCACTTAAATAGGAGCCAGCTGTGTGCAGCAGCTGTCAAAAAAGCCAACACAGTTCTAGGCTGCATAAACAGAGGGACAGAATCAAGATCACGTGAAGTGTTAATGCCACTTTATAATCCCTTGGTAAGGCCACACTTNATTGTAGTGTTGGGAGAAATGTCCTTCCGAGTTTAGTTCCAAGTGGGGAAAAAGACACTGGAAACATGGAGGCTGCTTGGAAAGATGGTTTAATGGTGGACAGGACCACATGGCTTGAGCTCCTGAACAGAAAAGGGGGAGGGGTCACATGCTTCTAGATGTTGGGTGAAGAAAGAAAAAGCAAGATGCTAAAAGTCCCTGGTTTTATGCCTGATCTTGATCTTGTATTCTGATTGGTTGTCAGACTCCCATAGGGGCAATTCTGTAGGCTGTTGTTTGGAGTCCCAAGTTTGGTTGAGCATCGCTTCTTCCCAGGTGACCTGTAGTGAGGTGTGTAAAGGGCTAATGCTATCATGCCTTCATCCCATCACCCTGGAGCTGAAGGGGGAGATCTTTGTTATGTAGAATAGACTGGCCCATTCTTTTTAATGGCCCATTGACAAAGGTGGGGGCTATTAAAAGGGAGTCTGCTTCCTGCCTAAAAACATTTCTCCATTTCTTATCCAGGGAAATATAATATTCTGCCTTTTCAATATTTCCCAGGATAATTTCATTTTTCTAGGAGAGGGGTGGGTTTTAACCTCCTACACCACAGGGAGGTTAAGTAGCCAAAACCCACTGTTAGGGGTTTTGCTAAAGGGGGGCTGGGGACTAACGGAGAAAAGTAGGCCAGTTCTTAAACAGGGATTCTTAACTACAGCCATAGTAGCTTCAAACCCTCCTTTAACTAAAGGGTAATTTGGTAAATGGGGAATGTAGGGTTAACCTATTTAATTGTAGGAATGGTCGTCCTTGGGTTTTGTAGAGCCATGTTCTGTTCTCCCTAAAAGTGCGCTTTTGCAGGAAGCAACTGAGACTTTGTTTTTCCTTGAACATGTTTCACTTCTCATCCAAGAAGCTTGTTCAGTTCAGCTTCTTGAGTGGTAAGTGAAAACATCTTCGAAGGAAAGCAAAGTCTCAGTTGCTTCTTGAAAAAGCACCTTTTGAGTCCATCGTGACCAGGATGACTCAGAATCTCCCATAGACATCCAGTTCTGTTCTTTAAACAAATGTGAAGTTCACCTTTGCCAATTACTCTATTTCAGCTGTCAACAGAAATGCTGCTTTGCTGATGCTTTATTTAAATTGAATGTGTGCATCAGTGATTGCCTGACATCTGTGGATGCCATACACTAAATAAAATAAGCCATGATTTCTATCCATTTCCTTACATTACTTCTACAGCCACTCTGTATCTCAGCTTATGTTCGTTAACGTGGAAACTAATCAAGGAGAGAACAAACTTAGAATTAAAAGATAAATTTTCTGACAATTAAACAATGGAACAATTTGCCTCAAGAAGCTGTGGGTGCTCCAACACTGGTAGTTTTAAAAAAGAGATTGGACAACCATTTGTCTGAAGTGGTATAGGGTTTCCTGCCTAAGTAGGGGTTGGACTAGAAGACCTCTAAGGTCCCTTCCGACTCTGTTCTTTTTTTTTAGCAGATNAGAACAATTAATCAGTGGAACAGCTTGCCTCCAGAAGTTGGGAATGCCCCAACACTGGAAGTCTTTAAGAAGATGTTGGATAGCCACCTGTCTGAAATGTATAGGGTTTCCTGTCTAGGCGGGGGGTTGGACTAGAAGACCTCCAAGGTCCCTTCCAACTCTGCTATTGTATTGTATTGTATTATTACGACAATTGAGCCCAAAATGTATGCTTTTAAGTGAGAAAATTGTTGAGTGAGTTTTGCCCCATTTTACGACTTTTCTTGCCCCAATTGTTAAGTGAATTGCAGTAAGTGAACCTGGCTTCCCTCTTGACTTTGCTTATCAGAAGGTCGCAAGATGACCCCGGGACACTGCGACCGTCATAAATGTGAGTTGGTTGTCAAGCATCCGAATGTAAATCAAGTGACCATGGAGATGCTACAAGGGTGTCATAAGTGTGAAAAACGGTCATAAGTCACTCTTTTCAATGATGTTGTAACTTTGAGCGGTCACTAAATGAACTACTGTAAGTTGAGGACTACCTATATTGCATTGTGAATTTGTGAGCAGCTGGCATTCCTCTGAATACAGAAAATCCTCAACTTACAGCAGTTCATTTGACATTAGGATGACTGTTCATGCTGGGATGAAACGCTGAGCTCAGTCCTTGTGTGGATCCAATGGCCCTCAGGAACTCTCTCCAGAATTTGGCGGTGAACTGGACTCCACGGTCTGAAATGATTCTTTTGGGCACCCCGTGCAGGCGATAAATGTTTTTCACAAACATTTTTCGCTAATTTCTTGCTTGGAAAACAAATCAATAGCTGTCCAGATTACTCTATTCCCACTGCTCTCTGGGAGCTCGACGATGAAGTCCATTGTGATCTCTTCCCGTGGTCGGCTAGGGCTGGCCACTCGTTGTAGTAGTCCAAGCGGCTTCCCCGGTCGTATTTTCATCGTTATGCAAGTAGCACAGCTTTTTACGTAACCCACCCACCCCTTCCCTAGCAGAGCTTGGACACCACAATTGACGCCTAGCGAGGTGGAGCGTTTTTAGGAATCCAAAGAGATTCGGGTTAATGTCAGGGTTCCAAATAACATCCAAAATTAAATCAGAGTCCAAGGCAAAGTATTGCTCTGTGTTCCTGGATGTGCCAACGTGACTCTCTTAATAAATTGGAACTTAGAGCAATACTTTGCCTTGGACTCGGATTTAATTTTGGATGCTATTTGGAACCCTGACATTAGGATGACTTAAAAAAATTAGAACTGAGAGAAAATGGGGAAGCCAGCAATTAAAATAAAAACCTCATATAATTCTACAGATAAAATCCAGTTGTTTTTATTGTTATCTTTGAGAGGTCTGTTTGCCACTATATTTTGAACAGTTCCTCCTTTAGTGATCCTAGCATAGATCCTTCTTTCTATAGTTCTCTAATGGCTTTAATTAATTTTATTCATCTGCTTATTTACTTAGTATGTCTTATACAATACAATACAATAGCAGAGCTGGAAGGGACCTTGGAGGTCTTCTAGTCCAACCCCCTGCTTAGGCAGAAAACCCTATACCGTTTTAGACAAATGGCTATCCAGCATCTTATTAAAGACTCCCAATATTGGAGCATTCACAACTTCTGGAGGCAACTTCTGTTCCACCGATTAATTGTCCTCACTGTCAGGAAATTTCTCTTAGTTCTAAGTTGCTTCTCTCCTTAATTAGTTTCCACCCATTGCTTCTTGTTCTACCCTCAG